AGACGGACCAACAACACCGAGCTAGCCGGACTAACACCACCGAGCTAGACGGACCAGCAACACCGAGCTAGACGAACTAGACGGACCAACACCAACGACGAGCTAGGAGCTAGGACACTAAAGTCACATCTCGCTAGTCTTCATTATTTTAAATAGTCATTTGGACTTAGTAAATTTATTGTGTTTTGTAATAATCAAATAAAAGTATTCAAATTATAAAGAAAAATCAAACTCTTGTTCATTTATTTTCAACACCATCAAACCGAACGTAGTCAGATTGTTACACCGCATAAAAAAGTTGAAATACAACGATCTAACGTTTTATAAATTTTGGATTTTGTAATAATTTATTTTTTTTTTAATTATATAGGCCATTTGTTAACTATTCATTTATCCACAAAACACTTACTGACTTACTTATAAAATAAAAATGTTAACCGTTTAATATATTTTATTACTTAAAAATGTAGGCGTTTTTATATTATTGTATTAAAATAAATTTGTACAGCAGTGGACGCGCCACTCGGAATATAATATTATTTCCTTCTATCACAGAACGCCAACGCGTCTGGTATATTGTACACATTCAGCCTGTTGAACCACCATAACGCTACAATGTATTTTTCTCTCTTTGTGTGTATAAAGGAATGTAACGGAAAAATCCGTATGTTAGCATCGTCAGGATACACCACCATAAAATGTTTAACAATAACGCATTGTATGTTCTCAATGAGCGTAAATTGGATAGTAAAAATTGGTGAAAACGACGAGTGTGGTGATTTGTCTTCTATTCGGTTGTTTCATTCGATGTTAAATGAACAGCAACGACGTTGTAGGAACATTGCAGTGACGATGTAAGATAACGACGGAGCTAAATTACAAAACGAATGTTGTAATAGGATCTTAAACGACTATCGTGATGCTCGGTACTGCCGCCGTCACAGTCACTGGCAAGTGGCAACCTATGCCGCCGCTGCAAAGATCGAAGAACCGTAGCTACTTGCGAGTGCGACCTGGCACATAAACCATTACCTAACCTAACCCGAACGAGTCACTACAATAGGTGCCGCCGTTGCAAAAATCGAAGAACATTCTAAGGTCTATTCGGTAGTGCTTTGATTTTGATACCTACACCTATAAAAGGGTGTTTATTTGACCTATATTTTCAATTTCAATATCGAAACAGGTTTGTATTTGGGAAGTAGAAAATAACTAATTAATATTTCACACTTTCTTTGTTTAATAATATTGTGTTCAGTGTATAAAACCGTGTGTAGGTACCTAGCATAGTACCATCTACCTAGTACAGAATTGAACAGAATTTTTATTCAAATAGGTGCAAAATCACTCACCTGGTCAGTTGTCTCCTTCCTTGAATTGCACAGCTTCCTTCATCTTCTACCGTGGACTTTTACCGGTGTTAAAAAATGGATCAAGGTTCGAAAAACTGAAAGGATGTAAAACAAATGCAGTTCCAGGGAAAGTTAATAAGCTATAGTGTAATTTATTATAATGAGTAGATAATATTGTAGAGATGATTTGAAATAAATTTAAAACTACTTTTAAACATACATTTTAACACATTGGAGACGAGTACCGTGTTAGGCACGGCCACGGTTTTAAGATAAGTGAGACGCTAGAATTTTTACAATGTTAATACGTTGGAGACGAATGCCGCGTTTAACGCGGTACGTGTGTTTAATGTATACAGACGAACATTTCCCGCCAATTATTTGTTGTGTGGACGGGCTATTTTCTCATGTTTTCCATATTTTTTTACTCGCTATTGAATAATCCGATTAATTCCTTTTTTTTTTCATCGAACTCGCCGAGTGTTGATCTAAATATAGGTCTAAAAATAAATATGATTATCTAGAACACGATGTATGTAATATACGGCTTATTACGACAGTTCCAACCGTCAAAACAAAAAGTTGACCGAGATAATTATTTTATTTTATCTTGTCGTATTTTTTATGACTATACCAACTACAATACTTTTTTTT